GCTCCTTCTCCATCTCCCGCTCCTTTTCCATCTCCCGCTCCTTTTCCGTCTCCCACTCCTTCTCCGCCTCCCTCTCCCTCAATTTCTTCATCAGAATCTTCAAATGAATCGTATTCTTCTTCTCCTTCAAGGTCTTTTCCCGAACCTTCACCACCTCCAGCTCCAGCTCCACCTCCAGCACCACCTTTAGCACCACCTTTAGCTCCACCTTTAGCTCCAGCTCCACCTCCAGCTCCACCACCACCTTTAGCACCACCTTTAGCTCCACCTTTAGCTCCAGCTCCAGCTCCACCTCCAGCTCCACCACCACCTTTAGCTCCACCTTTAGCTCCAGCTCCAGCTCCACCTCCAGCTCCACCACCACCTTTAGCACCACCTTTAGCTCCACCTTTAGCTCCAGCTCCACCTTTAGCTCCAGCCACAATTCCATCTTTGCCTCCACCTCCACCACCGGCACCACCATCTGCACCTTTGCCACCATCGGTTCCATCAGCCCCTGCCCCCCCTGCAGCACCCCCAGCACCACCAGCACCTACACCTTTGCCACCAGCACCCCCTGCAGCCCCTGCACCCCCTGCACCACCAGCTCCGCCAGTGCCTCCGCTACCATCAGCAGCACCGGCTCCGCCAGTGCCTCCGCTACCGTCAGCAGCACCAGCTTCTTTTTTCTTCCTGGCAGCTGCATCCTTGCTGGCAGCTGCATCCTGGCTGGCCGCTTCCTTCTTTGCCTTAGCCTTAGCGTTAGCTGCAGCCTTAGCTGCAGTTAAAGCTACAGCTTTTTCTTCTGCCGCCGCCTTTTTAGTTGCTTCAGACTCCACTTTGGCAGCTGCTTCTGACACTTCTCGCTCTGCTTGAGCCTTCTTGGCAATTTCCATTTTCTCTTCCATTTCTTTCTGATATTTTTCCTGCTGTTCCTTGGCTATTTTCATCAGATCTTCTTCATTACCGCCTCCAGCCACTGTAGTTTTGCGAATGGCCTTCTTGCCCTTGTTGGCAGGATCCTTGTCGGCTATAAAAGATAATATGGCAAATGTATTTAGAATTTCTATCTCAATATTCAATTCCGAATTTAACAAATATTTGGTATCTGGGAAAAGTATTTTCAAGGTATTCCATATGTATGCATGCAACTGGAAGTTGTAATTTTCTCACCTTCAACTACCAGCCAGGCATTGCAGGATTTGATTCCTGCCACTGCGACATAGATGCCGGCGTCCAAAGGCATACAGTCCCGCACAATCAACTTGTGTATGAGCTTATCTTCAGATACAGTGATTTCATGTTTCTTGCTATTTGTCAGCGCAGTGTTTTTGCCCAACCATCTGAGCTCATTCATAGGTGCAGTCAGGACACATTGGAAGAGGGCGTCCTCTCGTTCTGCTGCTTTAACTTCTTGTATTTTGACAGCAAAGTCAACTTCAGGCACTTTAGGGATAAAAGAAAGGCACAACATAGAAAATAAGAAGCAGATACTTTTTTAAACTTCATCAGTCTATCCCATCCATTTCCTAAACAATATGTTCTGTACAGGCTCACTGGTAGCTTGTCCTATCTCACTGTGTGCATTTAGTTACAGCTATTAAAAGCATCTGTGGTCAGCAACAATATATTAGTGATCCTTGGACTGAATTTACTTAAACCCAGTCTAATTTGAATCACGTGATTGAAGACATACCTTTAAAATCTGTAGAGAATACATTGATGCCCCCAACATCCACTGAGTAGAGTCCAGCATCCTCTGAACCGAGATTTTTAATTGTGAATATATATTTCTTGCCAACTTGTTTCAAATGATGCTTCATCCCCTCCCTGTCTTCTGTGGTGAATGGAATCATGACGCCATTCTGCAGAATTTATGGACATGTTAACATATTGATAATCGATAATAAAATGCAGCGAGATTATACTCTGGTTAGTAGTTAACGCCCCTCACCTTGTACAGGAAAACTTTGCTGGTAGGGTCCTTGAGGTCCATGTCCAACTCAATTGTTGCACAGTCGTCATTGACTTCAATATGTTTCAGTGTACTGATGTGTGTAACAAACTACAGTAGAAATAAATTAAAAAATGATCAACATTGTGAATGAGTCTGCTCATACAGATCAAGATAGACACCAAAAACAAACCAATTCTACTAAACAAGTGAGCAATAAAAAAACTTTAATATTCATTTCAGAAACAAAAGCTAGGGCGCCCATCTACGAAAGCAATGATTGGCTGGGCATGCTTTTGATACAATTACAAGATAAAAAAGATACGTACCTCTGCAATGTCCTTCTCTCTCTCTTTCTTCATTTCAGTGAGTTTCTTCAGCATATAGCGGAAGTCCTTGATACCATACTCCGCACAGATCCGCTCGTAGTCTTTCTTGTCGGCACTAAGGAGGATTTCCCAGACCTTCTCCTCTGGCTCCATCGGCTTTGCATCACGTGTTCCGTCATCATTACTGTTGAGAGCTATTTCATTGAAGCCCTACACACCCACCGTGTTTTCACTAAAATAATAACTCTCAAACTGTCATAGAAAAAGGAATCACCGCCATAATACAAATACCGTAACAGTTAATTTAAGCGACAAGCAGATATGTTTACTAGGGTTATATTTGACTCACCGTTTTTTAAGCTTTTTTCTGAAGTCCTTTGTATCTGGTAAACCACAACAAAAAACATCAGTCCATTACTGAATGTATGTCACGATCGTATTCAAAAAGAGTAGGATCCATTTAACTTCATTATTAGTTTACATATAATAGTTTGATTAAAACTTTTTATTTCTATTTTATAAAATAAAACTAACTAAAAGAAGTACTGCACACATATACTTTGTTGTTTTCTTTAGCTGTAATCTAAATGAAAGGACTTTACTTTGATGAAACACATACTTATGTTAGCACTGACATTTCTTACCAAATGTATACATATTGGAATGTCATCGGTTAAAAATGTCTCGACACGCCACCTACTGTTCTTAACCTTTACCCTCCTAAAGCCAATGCTGAGATAGAGTCGACCATTTGAGACTAATTAACATCCTCTAATCAGTGAGCAACTCCTGCCCTCTACACCCCACCTCCCTCCTCAGACCCCCCTCTCAGCTCAGCCCCTTGCCCACTTTTTTGTATTTTAAAAAATGATGCAGTGGGTGCAGTTAGGCTCACACCTGGGAGTAAAAATGCACTTAATTGGCTAATCGAGAAGAGTCTAATCCTATTTAATATGCATCACATCTACACATTGCATAGTATCCCTTTATGCACAAACACAATTTTTCAGTCAATTTCTTGGAGATTCATTAATGTGTCATGTATGCAGTGGGACAGCACTAATATGACAGATGTTTCATGACAGGAGGATTTTTCCCAATAATTCCAATTAGTGAAAAAATGTCATGTTGCAATGAAAATTGATGGGCTAGGTTGTAGCACAGAGAAATTGAGCTGCTGCATCATTCAGAGTATTGATAACTTAGATAAGAAGCATCAACCTCTATTCATCCTTGTACTCAGCTGGTTGCCCAATCCCCTAAATGTATCTTCTTAAAAAAGAAAGATAAATGTGTTTTTAATTGCCGTGCTAGTTTGTCACATAATGTTTGTGTCCGACGAGGGCAAGAGAAACCTATATTAGCTCTCTTCTTGCGATGACTTGACCTTAAAATGGTTAGCCTTGACCTGACAGCCAATAACACTAAACGTCTTGCTAAATAATATATTCGCAAACCTCTTTAGAAATAACTTTCAAAATGGCATGTTTTTTTAAAGCTCACCTTCTCCTTGTTTCTTTTGAAGTTCCTTGGTCTTGGAGAATCCAACTGTAAAACAAACAGTTAACTTAATGTCCATTCTGTTTGTCACAGTTCAACACAAATGTGCCAACGTATCAATAATTCAACATGTTTCTATTACACTTGATAGATGCAATGATTCAAAGAAACATAAGGATCTTACCCTGAATAATATTCAGGACAACAGTGCAAACAGCCTTTCCGTGTTCATTTGTTGCAAAACACTTGTAGGTGTCTGCGTCCTCTGGAGCGACCTTTGGAAACTAATGAAGTGCAAACACAGAGTTAATGGCATTTTATTATTATCGTTATATTATTGAGTCATTGTCACATTACATTACTAGTGCACGAACATTTGCTCCGTCTCATATTCACTTCCACTGAATCCCAAACTACGGACAACTTCAAGCATGTTTCGCTGCGATCTCTAATTTGATCACTTTTTTTAGTACATTATCGGACAACACATTGTTGCGTCGCTCTCATACACCGTTTACATGTCTGTGATCGTTGAGTAATATTTATTTCTTGTGATATCACGTCAATATTTTTGGGCAGAGTGCGAATACATTTTGTTGATTGGAATCATAATGTGACCATGCCATCAGAGTGTCTTGCAGATTGTCCTCATTAATACCTCACGGCTATATGTACAGCTTACCTCAATGGTGTGTTCATGAGATGTTTCATCATACTTTTGTAGGCACATGTCGGGGTGATAATGTATTTCTCCGTTTGCTCTGCCCCATGTTATGGTAGGTGTTGGGTTGCCCACTACTATGGCTTTAAAGACAGCACATTTACCTGGAATGGGATAAAATGAAGATTTCCTTGTTAGTGCCAAATCATTCACAGTGCCTGTAGGCTTCATAGCGACAACTACCAAAAACAGTTCAAACTTGGTTGGAGCATGCACTGTCCTGTGACATTACCTGGGTCAATGACGTGACACAATTTTTTTTTTCATTATGTTTAAGTTAAATTTAAAATGTTTAAATTTTGAATATATACTTACAAATACATTCTGTTTGAGGATCTAGTCTAAAATTTCTGTTTTGGATCAATTTTGAGAGAATACATGGGGGATGATGGCAACAAATGTCATATGTGGTGTAGCCTTAAAAACTTCGTACCAAATAAGTCAACTTGTTTAAAAAGGGTGGAATCCTCAATAAAACACCCAATCATCTACTCTCCCCTGGTGACCCTAACCGGTGCACAAACAATTGCAAAAGAAAAAGCAATATATATTTTTTTAATTTAAGATGGAATGAGTTCATCGCTCAAATACATGAAGACTTACCCTCTTGAATAGTCAGAGCAATGGGTTTGCGGGTGAAATCTGGAGTTGTCATTCCCTCTGGAAGTTCCTCCAAAAACTGCGTTATCATGACACCGGGCACCTTGGACTTCTTCTTGATGCCTGTTCAAATGAAGAAAAAAAAAATAGCAATAAGACAACCTTAAACGTATAGAGGGGACAAGTAATATAAGATGCAGTAAGTGCAATATATTTGTCAAAGCTTGAGAATGTTAATCTTATTTTAGGAGCCACCGCTGTGTATCAGTGAACTTGAATGAGTACAGTATGTTTGAAGAAAAAAACATACTGTTATCTGCTTTAGTTCAAAAGCAGAAAACAAATTACAACCCAGACAAAAACCCAGTTAACATATGTCAGCGTAAGCGTCACACAAAGTCACATTTAAACGTTTGGTATAGAAATGCCACGACAAAGGGTCTAAGACTATCTAGCATTTTAATAAACTGAGTGACATCTAAATATGGATGACTTAAGCAAATACAAAACTTGTAAAATATTTTCGCATAAGTCTCTCTGCCGCCTAAATTTTGACCCTGCCAAAAGTTAGTTACACTTGTTCTGGACTTTTTGCAATAATCCTACTGCTCTTTTTGGAAGAACATAATGTAAGTACGGCAATTGGCATCCCCACCTACTCTAACGTCTCCTGTGTGTTGGCTTCGCTCTGACACTATACCCTCAAAATAGATTGCTCATAAGGAGCAGTGCAAACGACCAACAGTACGGTCAAAAGTCAGAAACCTTTCCAAAAGTATGGTGATTGTCTAATTTATGCATCAAGACAATTTCCAACACCACAGTTTTTAAGCAACTTTGGAAAAGATGTGTCCAAGTTTTCTGTAATAATGTACTTTAGACTCCCACCTCATGGGCCTCTCGACATTAGTAGTGAGTGTTTGATTTTCATAGAAACATGCACCCCAAAGGGACCGTATTTATGTAAGTAGCAGGCGTAATCAGCTAATATTCAGTGTTGTGGGACTCTTTCCATAAACACGATGTTTATGTCATGTTGAAAACGTGAGTGGGAACTTTGAGTTAATGTTAATTACAATATGAGACAATTCCTATTTACTTTGAATTCATTTTTGTTGACTTGAAGATAGTTGATACCTTTATCTTTTTCTACTAATTCTTAGTTCAGTCAAATTACTGGTTAACTTATTTTGTTTGTCCACATTGCATCAGTGTAAGTATATTTCTAGAGTTTCAAACTTTCTGTGAAAAATGTATATGTTGTAAATGGATCAAGTTTAAGCCTTATTTTAAATATAGGCAGTGCAGTCGTTTGACTTAATAACAATGATTTTTACTCTTTTTATAAGCCTAAAGAAGTAGTCCATGGCCATGATTAACATGATGTTCACAATATCTAGATATTTTTCATTTGAACTATTCATTTATGTCAGCTATAGGATGTAATTAAAACAAGACAATTTGCTATGTACAGGCATGAAGGTTGACATCTGTAATTAAACCCTCTATGTCTGTATTGTAACTACAGTACTGCATATTATTCTTATTTTCTGCACAGTTCAGTCTAAATTGTGAGCACTCAAAACAGGGAAAGTTGGCCCGAAGTCTTCTGTGTTGGGGAAACATGCTGCCCCCTGCAGTCTCCAGAGGTCCACAGGATACGAAGTATGATTCCAGCTTTGGCTCACAGCCATTATAAACTCTAGCATTACGCATCATAGCAGGTTCAAGTGCTTTGCAGAAGTCCCAGAACACCTGAGAGCACCAATATCGACTAACCCATAGAAATCTCGAGGGCGGCATCACTGAATGCTGATCACAGGGGTTCAGCTGGTCCGGGGTCTTTAATTATTTTGTCTTGGCATGAAAGACCTGTAATAGGCAAAATATATACTGTAGAATATATAGTTTAAGTATGAAGAAATGAGCAGGGAGACGCAGCATTTTGCAGTCTTAAGGGCAATGGAGGTGAAATGCTTGCGGCAGGAAAAACAGTACTGTATGTGGCAGAGCGTTGATAACATTACATGAGTTTTGCTGCTGTTAACAAGCTGGACGTTGTGGAATTGTGAAGATGATGCCATTAAAAGCAATTTGTTTGCATGGAAAAAATGTCTTAGCCTATCAATAATAAACAGTATTTAAAGCTGCGTGTTTAAAGCTGGGCATTGATTTCATGGGTCAGTCAACAAAAAGTATGTTTTGCATACATATATAATTGTATAATTGGCATACATTTTGAACAGAAAGAATCATTAGGATACTGTCATTCCTAAGCAGATTTAACATGATTTACGTGCTTGGTAAATGCTGTGCATATGTACAGTATGTATGTGAGTCATATTAGATGCAAATATCGCCAGATTCTTGGTATGGTCAGACTGATGAGCATGCACAAGCTGAGGGTGTTACATTTGGTCCTTGTCTGAAAATCCTGTGAGTGACAATATCTTAACTGCTCTTGTCATGTTTCTAATACAGTTGCACTGGAGGACTCTGTACTTGCTTTACTTTTTTATTAAGTCCTTTTTCAAAATGTGTTGTAGTTTTTTTGCTTGTGCATCATGTTTGTTGGACTCCTTTTGTTGTAGCTGGACTTCATGAGGATGAATTATTAACAGGGAAAGCATTCCCTAAAAAGGAATGGTTCTTTGTTTGTAGTTTTAACCGCCTTTTTTATTTGTATTGTATAATATTTTTGCACTCAAATTTTTATTTTCACCCTTTTTTTGTTTTACCATGTGGACCACAATGCTCCACAGAGCTTGGAACAAACTCACGGGAGATATTTCAGTTTTCTAACTCTCTGAATGTTAAGAACTTACGCCCTATACCTGAGTGCTGCACTTTCCTTTACTTATTGCTTTGTGCTCTCATCCGTTTTTCTTTGTGCTTCTGGCTCTTTAGATTTTTGTTTTTCTTATTTAATGTCTTCTATTGCTTTTATAGCACTTTGAAATGCTTTTGTGAATGAAAGGAGCTTAATAAATACAGCTGGCGTTGAATTGCCAAATGAATAAATGAATAAATGAATAAATGATAAGCTCTCTAGAATGTTGTTGGTGTTGACTCGCCAACATGTTCCCACTGTTGTGTGATGTTGTGTCTATTGACATCAGTGCAGCTTTAACCATTTCCATTGATGGCTGTTCGGACTTTGACATTTGACTATTTGAAGCTAGAAAGCATGTGCAGTAAATACAGATAGACTCTTTTTATTTGTTTATGTCCCAATGTAATTTGATTCACTGTTCTTAATTGTCCCGGACAACATTAATCAAGGTATTCTTAAGATTTACTTTTATCACTAGTTTTTGTTTTATAGATGCAAACTAATATTTTCTGATTTATTGTTATTTCTAATTTATTTCAGTCCATGGTTATGTTAACAGAGAAAGACACTTGTGTTGCCCCAAATTCCTCCAAAGCAGAGGTCAAAGGAGTACAAGACAGCAAAGGATATTGAGAGTTGGGTGAGGCCCAAAAGGGCTCCCAGAGTTCAAAGGTGATCTAAGAGAACTAAGAGTTCAAAGGTGATCTAAGAGAACCATATGCATAGTTAACAAAAAACATTGAGGTCTGGAGTTAATCAGCTGGAACGACACCTGTGAAGGTGTCGTTCCAGCTGATGGTTGGAAGCATATGGTTCTCTTAGATCACCTTTGAACTACAAGGATCACAGAAATTGCAATTTTCTATCCGTGACAGTCCTGGTCATCACATTGAACCAAAGCAGAGCATGAGGGTTCAGGCATGAAAGAAAGGCTAAAAACCACAAATAAATACAGAAAGGTAACTTAAAGGGCTGACTCAGTTTGCCTCGGTGGTCGTCGTATGAGAGTACTGCCTCAAATATGTTTTACTTGTAGTCTACTTACGGATACCAAATCCATGCTGTTTGCATCTAAACTTACAAGTTAATTATGTTGAAGCTTGAAGATTAATGTGATTTTTTTTTTTAAGGGGCTACTGAGGTGGCCAGTCAGTTTAGCTTGATTTTAGGAGGGATCATGCCACTCCTTTGGGGGGTGTTCCTGTAGAGCAAGTTCACTTTTTGAGACTGAACTGTGCCAACGTACTTTACTGGACTAATAAACATGTGGACATACGTTGACAAAGTGGCATTTTCCCTTTAAATTACAAGATGAAGCAGACACATGGAAATCGACTGCAGTGCCCGATAGCAACAGCCTTAATATTCATATGGAGGTTGATTAAAATGTCACAATGAAATGCATCCGTTGCGACACTGAAAGTTGAATCATCCATTTCGGATGACATCTTTCAAGGCGTGATGGTGATGAAGATCACATCATACATGCAACAACTCACCCAACGTGGAGTCATGCACTTACAGAAGGTGAGTCGTTTGTGTAATTTGATTTCTTTTTTTCGCTCGCATACCTTTGTCGTCTGGTTGAACTCCCTCTGAAGCATCGACTAAACACGCAACGTGACAGCAGGAGAGGGAACAGGACAGGTAAATATTAATCCTGACAAAAGCACCATGGCAGGTTGGAACTTCGACAGGATTATGGACACAATAAACATAAAACACCACAATATACAGTATAACCCAGGAATGGGAAGCACACACACGGACACAACTTGGGCAGAACAAAATATTCAGAGACACGTCACACAACAATGGTTAGTCATAGACAAAGTATACTACAGTATGTTAGCAATATGTTGTTGCAGCAGCACGCTAATAGTTGTGCTGTGCAAATGCTGATTAGACTTAACTTAAAGCTCGCTCAGGCATTTTCTCACGTCTCTCACGACACACCTCAGGATGATTCCTGCGCAGTGCTTGAGAAGAATAATGTGCAAACACTTTGTGGAAAAGCAACTTCTTGGAAATTGATTTAAAAGATGCCTTAACCGTGTCTTCCATTCCTTCATCCCGTCTCTTCAGTTGTAGCAGCGACTAGCAACCGTTGTTGTTGAGATACACTCTGAGTAACCCGTCTGGCTACTTTTCATCATGAGACTTTTTTCCCAGCATACACTCCAGTGGTTTGCTAGCTTCTTTGCATCTCATCTTCTTGCATCTTTGACTCCATTGTTCATTTAGTTGACAGAGATCTTCGTAATCACATCCTTAGGAAAGACACGTTGATAAGTCGTATGGCCAGCGTCACATTCAAACTTGTTGCTGCTCGTTTTTTTTCACATGAAAAAAGCTTCCTTTGAAAAGTGGCATCTGTGTCTTTGATGACAAAACATTTTCTTTGCTGTTGAGTTTTCTTGAAAAACCATGAATAATAGTTGGACTGTTCCACTTGACAAAAGAAAAGGCTTTGGTGCTTGTCTTCCCATTCTCTCAGTTGAAAGTCTTCTTAAAAGGATGCATTTTGTAGACACGGACCTTATGTGATCTTTGACTGGGTGTACTTCCCACGTTGTTGTTTGTTTCTTTAATGCAATTTCCCTCGAATCTTTATTTTGTGTAAAGATTAGTCGTGTGGGTCAAATGGATCCTGTTCTTCATCATTCCTCAGATAAGAGGGAATAAAGGTCGGAGACAGCTGCAATACAAACCCTTGGACTGACCCAATCAGAGAAGGGTGTCCATCACCTTGCACTTACCCGTCTGCCCAGCGGCAGTTTGATCGGTAACCTTTGACTTCTTCCACATCTTTCCTTTCTTCTCGAGCGCCACTGATTCAGAAGGTTCTGCAAAAGATACAAGAGGAAGTATTTAGCACTGCATACTTGCATGGCTCAAAAGCAAATCCGTGATATTGACTGACGTTCTCCTCGGACCTTGATGTGTCGGTCTTTGTTTCAGTTGCTCACTCTCTTGAAAATGTAAGCAGATGCCACCCAAAGGTTGTCATATATTTATTTAATATATTTGGAGGAAATTCTGCTGCTCTGAACTAGTCGGATGGTATTTATTTCTAAAGCTCACTGCAGTTACTCTGACCAGTCAGTATGAGGCAGCAACCAGTACCATTCACAGTAGCAGCTGGCCTCAACATGAGATGAAGGCCTATCTCAGCCTAAAATAAGCAGGGTGAAGAGTGAGGCTTAGGTTCCAAATACTCACACTGCCACTGCGATAGCCTCACTGTCCAGATTTAATATTAGTAAGTATTAATATGAAATACTATATTTGGAATTGCCTCTTCACAGGCTTTAGAAAAACAAAATACTAAAAGATTAATAGAGAGAAGAGATTTATCTGAGAGGAAATTTATTCTCCACCACCAATATTTGAATAGAATGTTCTTTAAAGTTCACTTATGTTGATCACAGTTGACTCACATGACTCTGTTTAACTGTTAGATGAGTAATCCTCTGTTATGAAAGGTCACATGTATCGCTTTATGCCATCACTATTTATTGTTCTTGTAAAATTTGACCCAATGACTCTCAAGTTAACAGGTCCTAACGTTCTCATTGGACAGGGACTTAGGTGTGGTTACGTACGGGAAAATAACATTATTGTCCTTATTACTTTGCAGCAGAAAATGTTGTTGACATGAAGAGGTGAGTCCTGTTTGAATTCTGCTTCTAATGCTCAGTGTGAATAACAGCGTGCCTTTACATTTACTTGGACGACCTAATATGATAATGGTGATTATTTCCACCAGGTAGCTTGAGCTATCTATGATGAGGATTTTGTTTAATGCTTGCTATTTTGCACACCTCACTTTCCACAAAATAGTCCTAACTTTTGATTGCATGACCCTTTCATTTATATTATCATGTCCCTCTTCTGTAGTAGATACAAACCCAACCTAGTGTGCTGCCTGGTTTATCGAAGGCTTTTAAATTTTTCCAACAGCATGTGCATTCAACCTGTTTGTTGAACCCTGTGACACCTTGGTTTCACATTTTCTATTTATCTATAATAATATTTAAATTATTAACAGGGTTAAATACACTGTAGTGTAAGCTGTACTGACATTTGATAGCACATACATATTATACTCTGAGTCACTTCATTGCTCTTTAAACACGTTCAAGTTCAGATCTTGTAAAGGAAAATAGAAGCATTTATTCACTACACCCTTTTTTATGCTTTTGAAAGAAACTTTTACTGCAACCATTTGTGCTTCCTAATGCAAACACGTGATGGTACAGGGATGTAGCAATCATGTACCATCATATACCATACAATGCATTTATTATACAATAAATACATTGTATTTATCCTGATTTGGTTACATGGGCACATTTTGTATTATTATTATTAAGTATTTGTGATTATGTTATACCATAATGCGAAGCTGTTTGAGGAAGTACATGTTTAGGGGCGTAAGCTGAAATATCAAACAGAATCTGAATCTTAGATATTTCACCTCAAAATTCAAATATTTCCAGCCTGTCCTGGTTTCTCATAGTAAATACAGCCCTCTGTCTTGAAAAGTAAGCATTTTATTTTTAGTTGAGCTCGTGCTCAGAAAAGGCGCTGGGCTCCAGCAGCGATCTTGGCTGTTGGTGGATCTTGAAAATGAACCACACAACGCATATGGTAAAAGCAAAACAGCCTGCAACAGGAGACATTTTGGCATGAGGCCCTTTTGCATTAAAGGAAGCACACTCCTCTTCCCACCCACGGAATAGTTTTGCCGATTTAGCTCATCACATTTATAGTTTAATGTTTGGCTGAGGCTCTCATCTGACTCATGGGGGAGAGGACGTTGTAGACAAAATAGCTGTCAATAGATCCTGAGCGTCTTTTCCAGCCGCCATCCCTGAGTTTCTAAAGATTTGTGCTGCAGGCTGCGTTACAGTTTAAAAAAAAAAGGCTACATAACATCATTACATCTCAACCAGTGTGTAGGCAGGCTGGCTGTCACTGCAGGCAACATACTGTAACAAGTCGCCAAGCCTCAAATTAGAGACAGGCTATCTGAAATGTTGGTCCACTGTGGCAGAAAGAAAATATATCCAGCTTTTCACCCTTAGTCAACCCTCAGAGTCTGGACATGCCTTCCCTTGCCGTAAACTTTATATATATATATATATGTGTGTGTGTGTGTGTGTGTGTACATGATCCAAACATTACCAGACTATATCGCTTTTCAAGAGATCTTGACAACTGTCAGATGGATGAGCATGTACTTGGCCTGATGTCACTAACAAGCTGGAGGTGTTACATTCAGTCCTCGTGTGAAATCTCACTGTATGTTCTGCACACACAATCACAATTGTGTTGATATAAATATGATGAATGTTTACCTGAATAGATGTTAGTAACTTAATTTAAAAAAGGGTCCTCGTGTTAATAATAATTTGTAGTATTTTGACAGTTTGTCTCATAACTAATTCCACTCGATTCGTTGTTGTCTTTAACAGAGCGATTGGCCAGTTTGAGCGTGCTTCTTTAGCTGTCCGTGCATGGTCAAATCCCTGTGATAATTGCCTGTGATGTCATCTTTGCATGCACACCGAATCCCTCGACATTACTTGAAGTTGACCTCTTAAACGAATTGAACGACATGAAATACA